ACAAAGGGGCATATGCCGTGAAGTAACACAGTTTGGAGAAAGCTCTGTGATCTGCTCGCATGTCAGATATCAGGGTCAGAAACCTGGTATTCAGGATGTGAGTGTAATCTTTCAGACCAGTGTGGTGTCATGATGGAGGTACAAGTAGATGGGTTCACTACTTTGCATGGCCTTGTGTTCTGGTCTGTTAAACCTCGAAACTCCCTCCAGCCTCCTCAAACATTTACAGAATTATCAGAATACTCTGTTTGTATTTTTAAACTTCTGGGAACCAAAATAAAGCTGTGGAATTGGAACAACTCTCCCCTACACAAACAGACTTGACACACACAATGCCGAGAAGATATGAAATCTTTTGTATGCACAGGAAAGGCAGAACAGGTTGTTTGTAAATCCATGTATGTGGCAAGCTGACATTGCTTGTACTGCCAGAGGAGAGTAGTCACACTGTTGCAATATCTGATTCATTCCGTGTGTGGAGACATTTGTTGCAGACATTACTGACATTTTACTTGGAAACAATATAGTAACTTTCTTCTGACACTTTCTTCTCTCTTTCACAGCATGGTGAATGTTTCATGCTCATTTAATTGTCAGCAAGTAGAGGTCGTTGCAAGAGGGATTGCGTCAACTTCAGGGCAAGTGAAGGACATACTGAAGGAGCGGGCAGCAACCCTTTATTTACCCCGCTGACCCTGCATGCTGGGTCTATAGCGTTACTTCCTGTATTCCTGGTACTGTGTTCTCGTGGATGGCTCAAAACCGTGTGATTTGAGAGCTGCTGTACCCGAAACACAGTATTCGTCTCAACAGTCAACACTCATGTATACATACTGTACAAGCCCATATGAACACATGAGGGTTGGAATGCAATATATATATATATATATATATATATTTCAATTAAATTATGCTTGTTATTTGCCTTAATTAAAATTAACCCATAACCCAAAAAAGAGCGGGAGTCCTCCACACACAAAATGTTCCTCCCCTCCCTCTCCCTGTTGCTCCATGTCTCCTCTTTACTCTGGACAGGAGGGAGTTTGGGAACCTCTGTTGGCCAGCTGTCAAAGGAAGGAGGGGGGGTAGCTCTGTCACTGTAGACTTTTCCCTCTCAGCCTCGCCCGGACCCGAGCCATCCAGCCCAAGCCACCGAATTCAGTCGCCCAATCCTGTTTCTTTAGCTACAACACGTCATCTCTGCACACACTATGTAATGTAGTGTTTCTTCCACTGTGTGGTTCACTTAATCGAAAACGACTCTTCTATTTGTACAGCACAGTGCTGCGGCAACACTATAAGACCTCAGCAGTGCATGTTGAGTAGCTTAAGAGGAGACCTGATGCCATGTTGAATGGAGATCTACTCTCAGGCCAATCCAATAACTTATATCCTCTGACTGGCACAACACCTGCTACCTGGCACTCGCTGAACTCTTCTTACTCTAAACCTTTAACCTGGGATTAAACAGCAAATGCACCGACAATCATTTGTTTCATCATGTACCGCAACTCACTGAACTATACTGGCAGTGTTTTTTAAGATGTTAAAGGGGAACACCACTAAAATGAAAGATTCCAATATGTCATTTCCAAGGCCTAAAAATGTCTTAATGTCATCTATAACATATTTCCCAATTCATTATGGAGCTGTTCCAGACTTTATAATTGGTGATATTACAAATTAGTTTTCTACTTTTTGGATTTAGAAAAATCTGTTCACGTTCACTAACTTTTTTGGCTGTCTGATAATTGAAATAACATACATGGGTATTGAAAATGGACCAAGTTCCCCTTTTAAGTTATTCGTTTTTTACATATTTAAACCAATACTGTAAATTGTTTGATGTCTTTTTCACTCCACCCAAGGTTTGTCAAATGGTGTTTCTAGCATTGACAGAGAAGTCAAATGCACATATGTTGTTGTTAATTAGTGCAAAGTCCCAACTCCAGCTGTGCCACTGAGACCCCCCTCTGTCTTAGCACTGACGGAGACCCAGACGCTGACAGATGAAGCACAGCCTGCCCCTGCAAGAGAGACGCCACCTCTGTCCCTCACTCTGTGTCTCCATACATCTGCTTTGCATTAGCTTGTTGCCATGCAGGAAAAAACACAATTCTTTTGTAGTCTAATCCAGCCAATCAGGAAGTGAATTGGGGGTAGTTTCCTGTTTCCTGTGTTTGCCAGACAGAACGGACTCGGGCCCAGTAGCCCTGTTCGGTTTCCGATGATCGTGTGTTCCTCCAGGAAACCGAGGAAAGTCATCCCCTTCTGGAGCATAACAATAATAAATCCTCTATCTCTCTGTCTCTTCTACTAATATCTGGCAGGTTGTAAGCTCTGAGTCATCAGCCAGAGGACTGTAATGAAAACAATGTGATGCAAGCGTTACACAGACATTAGCAGGAGCAGAGTGCCGTGGGGATGGGACTGACAGCGAGTATTACTGCTGCTAGGTAACTAGTGCTGTCAGCACTGTACGACGTTTCAGAAGAACTGAGGAGACTCGAGTCCAGGCTTGGAAGTGACGACAACATAAATGTTATTCATCGGTTAACTCTAAAGAACAAGTCCGGACATATTTACAAAGCTTGTAAACTTTTTTTCTTGGTAACATAATGTCATTTTTCTGGCGAAGGAGTGGAACGCAGTACATTTACCAAACTACTGTACTTGTATTGTACTTTTCTTAGGTATTTCCATTTAACGCACTTTATTAGGACTGTTTACAATGCTCTACCTTTTTCATTGAGGGCTCTACATGTATTTCTATTAATGCAATTACCGTTTTTTTCATTATCGATAAATGTCAATCATTTGTTTTGTCATTCATCTAGTCTATAACATGTCATAAGATTGATAAAAACAGATCAGGATAATGTCTTCAACTATCTTGTTTTGTCCGACTTAGAGTCCAAGACCAACATATATTCAATTTACAATAATAGGATAAAAATGCAGATACTCCTACGTAAGAGGCTGAAAAAGCTATTTATTTTGCATTTTTCCTTGACATTTTTTTTAAATATTTTTTTTTTTTCTTGATTTAATAATTGTTGAAGTACATCTAGTTAGTAAGTAAAAGTAGCTTTATATTGATGGCAAAATGCTATTTACACATTGATGCATTATGTATAATGATGTCAAGCTATTTTCCCATGCATGCAATGTTGTCCATTGGCTTTTTGTGAACTACCATGTGCAGTGAATCACCTGAATTTAACTGTAATGGAGGTCCTCTTAAAATGAATTGGCAGTTTGCAAGTGCAGATTCAATACTTCTGTCCCAGCTGTTCAAATAGTGTGTGTGTGTGTGTGTGTGTGTGTGTGTGTGTGTGTGTGTGTGTGTGTGTGTGTGTGTGTGTGTGTGTGTGTGTGTGTGTGTGTGTGTGTGTGTGTGTGTGTGTTCAGTTAGCAGGCTTGTATCCAGGAAAGATGTGGGTCCTCCACACATTCAGTTTTCATTCAGAGGAACTGACCACTGCTGGAAGATTGTAATTTCATTCAGAAAGTGCAATCTAACGAGGCCTTTGTGATATCAAATGACACGTGTAGCTGCAGATCTGAGCATATCAACTCACCATGGCTCAACTATTTGATAAACTCGAGTCAGGGTGGTTCTCCCCCCAGTTGTTTACAGACAGTTTTAACAGAAGGTAAGGAGCTTACAAATACAGCCGATCAACTGTAAAAGGTTTTTTGTCTGACGCTAGCTGGTATCCTCACTCAGCTTGTATGTGTGTTTTTGTTTTCTCTGCCCATCCCTCCTGTCTGTTTGTAGTCAAAACAAAGTGGGACAGCACAGCCAGAGTGAATGGCCCGCCAGATGTCAGTGAAACTACAGCAGACGTTAACAAAGTCCCATGTTGACCCAAGACAACAGATCAAAGCAGACAAAGGAAGTTATTGTTTGTTTTGAATATTATAGGATTAAAAAAATATCAAATTTTATCGAGTGTGGCCTTTTAAATAATTTCGGACCAAATAAACACTTAGGCCTACTATGAATGCAGCTGAAACAGATGATCAAGTAATGAATTAGTTGATTGACCGAAAAATCATTATGATCCTCAATCTATCATTTAAATACTTTTTCAACAACAAATTATCTGATCCCAGCTCTGAAATAATCACTAAATGTTTTTGAATATTTGACTGTAAGTTAGACCTGTTATTTGAAGTCACAAAATAAATTGACCAAATGTTGGAAAAGAAGCTGTGTAACCATAACCTCAAGTCAAGAGTGTATCTTAAAAGTAAGCTTAAGGGGGGCTTTTCTCTTCTGTTTGAAGAATAATATTGTTATTATTATAAAATAATAATAAGGTATTAGAATAGTTATAAATGTGTCTTGTAATCCATTTGATACATACATTACTTTTTTTACTGACATGACCATTTTTTTGTCTTTCTGCACACCGCCTCATAGCTCCATTCACAAGATATGCATGCACCACATGTCTCCCACAAACCAGTGGCAGCTCACTGGAGACCAGCTATATCTAAAAATAGAAATCTGGGCTAACAATCAATAGCTAGACAGTTAAGCATAAAGCTGCATGTTTGGAGGTTGAGGCCAGAAAGAAAAACGAGTTTGCAATAACATGAATGGGGGGCTGAAACTAAGGTATAATAAAGGTTTATTTGATTTGAAGTGTCCCCAAAACGCATCTGGGTATGTGCAACTGTGGAGCCTTTATGTCGCACAGCATTATTATCAGCCAGCAGTCCAAGTCTCTATGTTTGCCATACCTCTAACACACGATTCTCCTGCCAGCTGCCAAATTTCCACAAGCTCTTATCACCCGTTTTGTTTTCCTTTTTCATGTTTACAGTTTGCGGTTAACAGCGTGAGAGGAACGCGTGTGATTTGAACTGCAATGGCAGCAGGAACAGGACAGATCTGTCCAGCCTCCAGCCCTCACTGTCTGCCTGGCCCGTTAGCATTGAGCCATCCATTGAGACGCTCAGACTGGGGGTAGGGATTTCTCTTTTCTTACCTATTTTTATTTTAACGCTCTGGAAAACCCGGAGACCTTCTTCTTCTACCGCCATGCTGTCCCCGAGGCTCTTTCCCTTTTGACGGTTAGATAAAGACAGTCCTCCACGGTGGTCGGTAATGGCTCCAGCGCGCAGATAATCCAGGGGTTTTGCACATCTATGCTCGCCGGGCAGCGATCACACGCCGGTCCCAATCGCTGCTTCTGCAGGCTGCTGCTGGTGAACAAGCGGGCAGACTCAGCTCCAGCTCCTCAGCAGCAGCAGCAACGCCAGTGGGGGTGTGGCTCCAAACAACACCGCCCACACATGGGTATGGAGGGTAATCCGTGCTGAATCCGTGCCACTAACACAAGAAAGGAAGTGTCAATGGGGAAACTGGAGACAGTCCAAGTCCCGCCCACTCTGCTAACATGATTTTTAAAAGATACAAAAACACATATTGTGGAAATGAACAAAAAAGGTTGCAGATGCATCTTGCCATGGTGGAAATCGAACATTGCTCATTTGCACATTCCACCACTAAATAAGCGAAGTTTCTCTTTAAACAATATCCAGATATAAACCAGAATCCCATGTGTTTAGGTAAGAAAGAAAAATCACAAGCAACATTCTCAGTTGCAGTGCAAAGTAGGAACAAGTGAGAAAACAACAAATTACATATCAGTAAGGTGCACATCTAAACATATTTACAATGCTAAAATATAAACTGGTCCAGGTACAAATCCAAGGTTTGATATTGCACACCAGTTATCAGAAATATTCCCATAATAAAAATATACTCTGACTGGATTACTCATGGTGGTAATATCCCAGGAATTGATTAAGTAAAATCCTGTCTCACAACCTATTGCAGCTAGTTTCTCGAAACAGGATGTCTTGTCTAGCTCCAAAGTGCCACAGTGTGGTTTACCCTTAAGTTAAAAGTGAATCTCCTCACTTAATAACCAGAGCAATGTGTTTGCAAGCAATCTTCACATTTTGCTACTTTAGCATCATCTACCATACACATCACATAGGTGACAGACAACAACCAACAGACATGTCTTTATGTTGTCATGATGGGATCAATCATCCCTCATACTGGTTTACAACATCATGAGAATGGCTAGACTCTGAATTGACAAGAACTAGCTCATAATGTTGAATTATATAAAATACATAACTGTAGCTCCTGGCAGAGCTAGATGACCATACTCGTATAATACTCGTAGCATTTTATTTATACCTCTCTTATCTGAGAACTGGCAAAGCACCATCAGTGGCTGTTCAGTGTCTCTCCCCCTCCATGGGCCCCACATGCAGCAGCATTGGGCCTAACTTTACTGGATATCGCCAGATTGTTTCTACATCAAATAGACTGCAGATTCAAAAAGCAACAAAACAGCTTTAGACTGGTATTTCTGTGGAGTAAATATTCTATTACTGTTCCAATGATCTGAGCTTTACAGGCCGTAAATGACTAAGGATTAGCCTCACTTCCATTTCAAGAAGTGAGGACATCTCAGGACTTTGCGTGGAACCTTAAAGGTGGGGTAGGTAATTTTGGAGAAACCAGCTTGAGTGCGCTAGAATTTGAAAATACACAACCGGAAAATATCTGCCACTTCCTTATAGAGCCCCTCCTCCAACACACACGAACGTGCACATAACCAATGAGGGCACGAGATAAGTTTGTGCACAGATGGAAGGCTGACAGGCAGGTAGGCCATCCAGTTGTTTTAGCCGGGCCGGCTAAAATGATTGGTCGTGCTTTTTACAGTACTACGGCTTCCACAGATGACATTTTTTTATGGATTTTTTAAGATTTAAGATATTCATTGCTATCGGGATGTTAAGAGCATTCCATGGAATATAACAAAAAGTGTATCTCGAGCCGGTTTCTCAAACTTACCTACCCCACCTTTAAATGAATTAACCTAAATGTTTCATTCAGTAAAATGTTAATTTAGGTTGGGTCAGGGTCATTTTATTATATAGGCTAACATGGCCTTAAGTGACGTGTGAGATGCAAAAAGCAAAAAGAAAGTCCCTCACTGCTAAATGACAGCTTGCGTTTAAGATTTAAGCGATGGGCTCTGCTTTTAAGACAGCACACATTTCCTCCATAACAGTGTACATCAATACTGACACATGGGAGGAATCATACTCAAACACGCAGATTAACATCATCTGAATTTCAGGGTCAATCCCTTCTTGAATGGTCAAATGCCACCAGGATAAGAAGATTGGGGCTGTCTCTTTTCACAGATATAATTAAAATATCTTAACCATGACCGCAAAACTGTTATCAAACTATACTTGTGTCAGACAAAAGTGAGCAAATGCAAACAAGATATTTATAGGGACAATGGAGAAATGTTCTTAATTAAAGGCACTGATGGGAGGGATGTCTGGAAAGTTTAACATCCATTCAGGTGAAATACACATGGTCATCATCAGCCCACACTTGAGCCTATTGGGCTACGCCTCTGGGATCACCATGACCACATTCCTCAGAATAGCCTGACTCTGGTTGGGAGGACTCTGCAAACCCAGCTGGCCGAGCCCAACCCAGCAGAGATGTGGGACTAAAAGCACAGTCGGACAGTCTTACTAATATCGACGGTTAGCTGCAGTGTTTTTGCTGCAAGCTGAAGTGTTGGGATTAGCTGTGACTCCTTTAGAACAGCTCTAAATCTAATTAGGCTATGTCTCATTGCTACCGTCAGCAAGGGGAGAACTGACATACACGAACAATCCTGGTATGCACTAAAGCAAACTGAATGCAGTAGTAGGAAGTGCATCCAGTGGTGAGATGTAACTAACTGCTAAATGCAGTACTATGTAAAATGTTGAGGTACTTGTTCAGTGGTTCAATCGAGTTTTTCCTAATCTTTTTATGGCTTTTGACCACTTTTCCGCTTTTTTTTTTCACGTTTCAGATGTCTATGATATGTAGCAGTTACACCAAAAAGACATTTCCAGTCTAAACTTTTCACATGGTTTGATTCAATGTCTAAAGTTATACAATACTTCACAAACAAAATAATAATTGGAGAAATGTTCAAAATTGAGTACAGATTTGTTAAGCAGAACTATGTTTTGTTCTCTTTATCTCATAGTGATGCTGGAGGGGCCTGACCCTTAGTTTGGGAGCCACTGGACTGAACTACTTAACTGTAAATACTTAAAATGAGTTCCACCTCGACCAGCTTTTAAGTTATTTTAATAAGCATGTTTTATTTGTCAGTATATTTTGATTACATGTTACATGAAAGTATAGTATCTGAGTCTTTACCACCACTGACTAAATGGGCATTTCTTGCCTGTGCGTGCATATCAGTGACACATTTTGCAACACGTTTTTTGTGCCTTTGACTATCTCCACTAAAACTGTGTGGCTAGATAATAACCATGGTATTAGCTAGCTGTATAACCTCTCATGACAGCGGAAAACAGCAATAATGTAGGTCCTTTATGTTGGCCACATCCTGTCAGCTGCATGTTTGTGCAGCTTTAGGGGAGATGGGAGGGCGATTTGGGATTTTACTTGACATACATTTTTTATCCCAGCAGGTTATATACATTTGCATGTACAGATGTAACACCAGTCAAATTGCTGTAATATAAGACTACAATGCAAGAGTCAAGGGTTGCCACTATCATGACATACCAACCAAAGTAGTATCCTATCAGCAAGTAAAAATAGGGGAAGGATAATAATACAGTTTTTGTAGCTGCATGCACGGCATCACATAGGGAAATAATGCTGGAAAGACGTTTATGACGTACAATTATTTCAGTTTAGCTAAAGTGGCTACGCCCTGTGGTAAACCACAAGCTTGTGTGTGTAACTGTATGTGTGTGCAAGTGTTAATGTTGTTGAAAAAGGCCCTCAAACCTTGGAGGTCTAACTAATCTTAAGCACAAAAATGTTACTAAGATATAAAAATATGTGTCCAAGTATAAACTTGGCATCAAACAGTGTCTGTACAAGTGCCTGCATACAGTATGTGTGTATGTGTGGGACAATGCAGATCCAATAACAGAAAGAGGAAGATGAGGCAGATGCTGACTCTAAGCAGATTAGTGAAAGGATGCTCACTGTTGTTTCATTATGCATAAGCTAGCCACAAAAGCAGCGTCTGAGGGCGTTGGCACACTTGAAATAACTGCACACTTACAACAACCATGGCGCACACACACACACACACACACACACACACACACACACACACACACACACACACACACACACACACACACACACACACACACACACACACACACACACACACACACACACACACACACACACACACACACACACACACACACACAACCTACTTTGTGTATGGATATATGTGAGAGGGATAGAGGGTATCAAGTTGAACAGATGGCGATTGACATGTTCAAAGTTAATCCTGGTTTTCTAGGACCAAAACAAAAGAAAATCTCCATGAATAGTATATGAATAACACCTTAAGAATGCCTGTGATTTGTGGAAAGGACATCAAACCACTTTATATAAACAACATAAGCAGAACCTCCATGTTGATCAAACTTGTTATTTCTGAGTTGGTTATTCCTTCCTTCATTCTCAACACTGCATCTGTAGAAAATAAACAGATGAAAAGCAGAAATCATGCTGTAGGCTTGTAGTGGGGTTACAGAAAAACTAATGAGCAACACATTCAAATATAAATCCTTTCAGCTAAAGCAGGGGTCTTAACATTTATCTAAACACAACATTTTGTTTATCTACCATAGTTTCTGATTAAAAATTGAGAACAAAAAGATAAAAACATACAATATTTTATGTTGGATTTAGTTCAAATTTAGAGTCTGAAGTGACCTGTAGTTTAGACAATGTAAGAAAAGTAGGATGCAAACGCATGTGCTGAAGCCGACCTGAGAAAGAAGGTGAACTGGGAAATTGAGTCCAGGGTTGAGCCCCAGACAAGAAATGTACACTGATATGTATGTGATAATCTAAAAAATGTAAACGTTTCAGACACTATGAAAACATCCTTGTTTATGTTTTCTTCTTTATTACCTAGATAGCTTGGATCTTTTATGAGCAGAGGAGTTTAAGAACCGTCTCTTTTAAACCACTTAAATGCAGACAACATTTACTCAACAGAATAAAGAGTGAGACATATTTTATCCTAAATCACAATTTCTGCTTGTGATTAGTGCAAGCAGCTTCCCTTCAAATGATGGATGTTTGCATGAAGAGTTGTTTTGATAAATGTGTATGTACCTAAATCTTTAGACATTTATGTACAATAGGTTGTCTCAAAATATTGTAAAAAATCGATGTATTTGCAAGTAGTTAATGTAGCAGCAGCATTGCCAAACGCA